ACGACGACGACGACGACGACGACGACGACGACTACTACTACTACTACTACTACTACTACTACTCTTCCTCCTTTTCCTCCTTTTCCTCCTCCTTCTCATCATCATCATCCTCATCATTATCCTCATTCTCCTTTCCCTTCTCCTCCTCCTCGTCCTCCTCCTCCTCCTCTGTATCCTCCTCCCCCTCCTCATCTTCCTCCTCCTCCTCCTCATCCCCCCCCCTCATCCCTTCTCTCCTCCTCCTCCTCCTCCACCGATTCCTCATCATCCTCCCCATTCTCCCCTCCCTCCTGCTCCTCCTCATCCTCTCTCTCTTCTCCCCACCCTCCTGCTCCTCCTCGACCCTCCTCCTCCTGCTCCTCCTCCTCCTCCTGCGCCTGCTTCTCCGGCTCCTCCTCCTCCTCTCCCTCCCCCTTTTCCTCCTCCTCCTCCTCCTGTTGCTGTTCCACCGCTGTTGAATTTCATTGGTTGTGGTTATTAATCATTGGGCGTCCTACGTCGCCTTGCACGGCGTCGCGTCAGTCTGCGCCGCAGTATGGCGCCACAGGCCTTGCACGGTCTGGTGGGGTCGTCTTCCCTCGCCATCCCCGCCCGCCCTGTTGTGGCCGCCGCTTCCTTCCCTCTCCGAGGTCTCTGCGCCTACCTGCGCGTCCATCCGCCCGTCCGCGCGTCCGCCTGTTCGCCCACAGGCCCACGCCCGCCCGCCCGCTCAACCGCTTGCCCGCCCGCTCGCCCGTTCGCCCGCGCCCACGTGCCCGCGCGCCTGCCCGCTCGCGTTCCCGCCCGCACGACCGCCCGCCCGTCCGCCCGCGCGCCCACCCGTCCAGCCGCCAGCCCCTTCGCGCGCCCGCCCGCATGCCCGCCCACTCGTCCGCCCGCCCGCGCGCCCGCCCGCCCGCGTGCCCGCCCGCCCGCACGACCCCCCCGATCGCCCGCCAGCACGCTTGCCCGCGCGCCCGCCCGCCCGGGCGCCCGCCCGCTCGTCCGCCCGTTGGCCCGCCCTGGCCCGCCTTGGCCCGTCTGGTCGCCCGCCCGCGCGCCCGTCTGCCTCTGCGCCCGCCTTCAGGGCGCACCCGCCCGCCCGTTCTGCAGCGCAAGAGGACAGGAAACAGCACGCGCCCGCGTCCACCCCGTCACATGACAACGTTCGGCCATACGCAGAGAGGGAGGGGGGGTCGAGGGGGAGGGGGAACAGTTTTTTGGAAGCACCCCTGCTTCGTAGAAGGCCCGGGCGTCGCCTGCGGATGCAAGGCCACGGTCTTCTGATAAGCAGCCTCTTCCTAAGAACTTGTCCCCCCTCCCGCCACCCCCTTGTGCGCGCCGCTGAAACGTGGGGCGAAAGGGATGTACAACAATTGATAGTCCCCTCCGCTCGCCGACGACGACGGCGTCGCCGTCGACGACGGCGACGACAACGACGCCGACGACGCCGACGACGACGACGACGTACGACAACCTTCCACAAGAAACCCAAACCTGAGACCCCAGGGTGTCCGTTGATTTTTTGGTGTGGGGACGTCAACCTTTCCATAGCAAAGCCATCGAACCCCACGAAACCCAGGGCACCTTGGAGGCAAGCAAGGTGTTTCGTGGCGTAGGTTTCCATTGTAATTTGATGTCAGCAGAAGCCTTGCTTCTTCGACCGTCTTGCGCGATCGCCGTTTTTTGCGAAACACACGCGCAAGAGTGTGTTATGTCGGCTGCTGGCAAGTATGGTTGCGGGTATTTGGACTCGGCGTTGGAGCGTCGCTGGGCGATTCAGCCCTGATGTTGTGGTTATCCAGCGCGCACATCTGCGGCGTGGGGACGTGCATGCCCCCTGACGCACCGCATAAGCCAGCACAGTCCTTTCCTTGCGCTTCAACCGATCCCCGTGGCATCCGCCCCCGCGGCGTGTCTCGCCGCAGGCGCAGAGGAAGAAGTGGGAGCAGGAAAAGCAGGCAAAGGACGCTGAGGTTCAGGACGCGCACGCCGACCTTCTTATTCCCCTGCAGCATATTCCCTTCCGTGTGATTGGCATCACCCTGGCTCGGTATCGATCTTGATGATTCTTTCGGTGTTGTGGACGTGCACCCCTATCGTTGTGGGCTGGCCGGCCTTACGGATAGGGAACGGTTCGAAGTTCGTTAGATTTTGGCCATGGGGCGTGGGTCGTGGAGTGGTGGCGCGGAGGAGGGAGGAAGGCAAAAAAGTGAGATCGAGGTTCGGGGATCGATATTCGAGGATCCAAGGTCGATGCGTGCGAGTTCCTGGCGTCCTTCCTGGGCCTCCAGAGCAGACCTCTCGGCATCACGACTTGGTATGGTTTGGTCTCCGTTGGGAGTTCGCGTCAAAGCATACCCATGAAGAGGTTATGGGGACGACTTGCCGAGAGATCCTGGGCCATGTGCAGGGGGCACGGATACACACATATACATATATAATGTGTACGCATGCATAAGTTATACAACAAATATATACATATGTTTATATCCGCAGTTCCTCGCCAGTGTGCCTGCGTTTTCGTGTCGGTGTGATTGTGTCTGTTCGTTTCGTTTCTGCTGTCTGCCTTCTTCCCCCCACGAAGCAGTGCCTGTCATCACGGGAAGAGTTCTGCGTAGTTGTTCCAAGGAAGGGGTTGGCGTTTCCAGACTTTCAGCCGGTTGGTGCCCGTGTCTGTGCTTCGGACAGTCGGGTTTTTGGTGGTTGGCGATTCCTCGTTCCCAATCTCCAAGTTTGTTGGCCAAGGAACGACCCCTTAGGAAGAAATGGAAGATTGCCGAACCTGCTGGGAAGGATTTTGCGGGCGCACGCCTCTCGAGGGTCGGAGTGTCCCATCGTATACCCCCGGGTTCGGCCCCATACGTCGTGTTCGAGAGAGTGTAAGGTGTTTGTTGCACATACTGCAGCCAGTGTTCACGAATAGGGTCACGAGGCAGCTCGCTTTCGTACGCGATCACGCTGGTCTTCACGAGGGTATTAAAGTTGTCATGGGTGTTCAGGACGGTCCGCATGTTCGGTTTTCGTATGCTGTGTGTGACGATGCCAGCAACAGTGATCGTGCGGGCTGTCTGGTTGTGCTCACGAGGGCTTCCGTTGTCGGGCCCGCGCTTGCTCACGAAGGTTCTCGTGGTCGTGCCTCTGACCTGGCCCGCGTTGGGATTAGGGCGGGTGTTTGCATTGGAGCTCTGTTCGTTTCTCGAGCATCGCAGCGAGCGGAGCGAGCTTTTATCGCTGCCTGTTTCAGCCAGCGCAGCGAGCTTTAGAAAGGAAGACGCCTACATTCCCGATCTCCGATCCGAGCGCCTATCAGTCTGCATGGCTGCAATCGATCCGCGGCCCTCGATGCATGCATGCGAGATATGCCTGCCCCCTGCGAATCCTACCCCCCCTGCCTCTATGGGTCCAATCCACGCTGGGGGTTCGGAAACCCCCGCTGGGGTTCACTTGGCTGCAGACATCTGACCTGCAAGGGGACATTTCACATGCGATTGTTTAGCGCGGCGCGATGCCTTCCCATCTCTCCGTCGCCTTGTCGGCGCTCAAGTGCGAGACCCGACCTGCGTGAAGTCTGGATCTCCCTCGAGGGTTTCGCGGACCTTCCCGCCCCCTCCCCCCATTCAATGGAAACGAGCTGGCCAGATCCTTCTCCTCCTCCTCCTCCTCCTCCTCCTCCTCCTCCTCCTCCTCCTCCTCCTCCTCCTCCTCCTCCTCCCCCTCTCCCCTTCAATGGAAATGAGCTCGCCACAGTCTGCGAACACACAACCTACGGTAGGTGCGTGTCGTGCCGACGCGGCAGCGACCCTTCCGCGGGCGTGGAAGGTGGAAAGCCACCCGGGGCCCAGAATCGGCCAATGTGGAACGATCGGGTGAGCGACATTCCGTCGATTGTTCAAGGTTGAACGATCCCGCGGTGTGAGTAACCAGCGCCATGGCCATCACGACACGAACCCTCCAACGGCGCAATCTTCTCGTGGCGTGCACCCGCTGGGGAATGTTCGCCTCCTTCCGTGGGGCTAGCTCTTCATCCTGAGAGCTGTTTTTGCGGCTCTGCTGCTGGGAAGCAGCATCCAGAGGTGGAAGCCGCAGATCAAACGTCAGTTCATTTTTTCCGCGATGCCCTGATCTGAGGTTCCTCCCAAAAACGCCAAACGAACGTGATATTATTATCGCCATGTGTTATTGTTATTCTTATTAGATCTGCGACAATATCCAGATGTCGAAAGCACGGACAAACGAGCCACCCCTCAGATCTGGACATCGTTCCGCGGCACGCGTCGTTTCGCGACACCCGCTCTGAGGGCGGCAGACATCAGGCAGCGCTAGGACGCAAACGACAATTTTTGTGAGCGTCCAGGAACGCTCCCAGACCGTTCCCGCTCGTGCTGGAGCTGGCCGCGGTGTCCGACACGCCCTCCAGGCCCGCCGTCTCTGATGCACTGGGAAGGCCTTTCGGCCGGCGCCGCCGACCATGAAGGGGGACGACGACCATGAGGGCGGCGTCGGCAACGGCGACGTGGTTGACGTGGGGCAGAGTCCTCAGGGATGCTTCCTGGGGCCTCTTCGCAGCGCGCTCGCAGGCCTCTGGGGGGCAGTTTTGGGCTGGGGGGCCGCTTGGGAGAATTTCAGGGTTCCTCTGGGGAGCCTCTTGGGGGTACGTTCGTGCTTCCTTGGGGCCTCTTGGGGGACTGTTGGGTCCTCGGGGGGTGGCTCTTGGGGGCGTCTTGAGGCCGCCTGGGAGCGGCTCGACATGTTTGTTTGGGCTCCCGTGTGTGTCGTTGCCGTGTGGGCACCCTCTTGGAACCGTTTTGGGGGCCTCTTGGGCCGTTTGGGATGCCTCGAGGGCCCTCTTGGGTCGATTTGGGGGGCCCTCTTGGAGACCTCCTGGGGGCCTTGTGTTTCGATCTTGGTGGCATCTTGGACCGCCTTGGGGCGTCGGGGAGCCGAAGGAAGAGAACTCCGGAATGCTTCAGAAACCTATGAAGAACATCGCGGCATTTCGCTTGTTGGGGCCCTCTTGGTGTGCTCTCGGAGGCCTCTTCGAGCGTCCTCGCAGCCGCTTGGGCTGCCAGGAGGCGTTCCGTGGCGTCTCGGACCGAATGTTTGGCAATTCGGGCCCCAAGAGGCCGGATGACGGCGAGTGCGAGTGACGTGCTTCAGAGAGCCTCAAGACGGCCCGAATTTCCCGAAGAAAGCTTCAAGACGACTCCAGGACGTCCCAGGATAACCCGGAGATGGCCTTCGAGAGTTTGTGGGAGGGGCCAAGAGAGTTGCAAGGTGGCCGAAGAGGTCCCGAGATTCCGACGCCCTCTCCCGCTGGCATTCTGGTTCAAGGCATCCGGGATCAGGCCGGAAAATGTTTTACCGAAATCAATCATCCATTTTTTGTTCATTGTTGGCATTGGCATTTGATGTCGCGAGCAATGGCAGCCAATCGGGGATCATGGATTTGGTTCTGGTTGGTACATGTCCACAGCACGTCCACCGCGATTTCTCTGAGGACACAATCCAGTGCTAATTCGTCGGTGGCAGGCTATTCGTACTCAGTGATCCTTAACACCCACTGCGGGGGCTTGTCCATCTACACATGGGCGAATGGAGAAGCTGCCAATTACGGCCAAGGTTTCGTCAACGACATTCCTGGATGCAAGACGATGCGTGACAGTCATGCCGACTGCGCCGGATTTGTTCAGCGCGATACAGACAACAAGTGTTCATTCTGGAAGTCTGGTCCTTTGGGATATATCTACGCTGGTACCTACACCGACTATCATTGCTACGAGAACGGGGCTGCGATCGCCTCCAGCAGTCCAACGCCCAGCCCGACGCCCAGCCCGACGCCCAGCCCGTCGATTCCCAGTGCTGGCGGCGCGGCCACTGGCGATCCCCACCTGCAGAACATTCATGGTGAGCGGTTCGACTTGATGAAGCCAGGCAGGCACGTTCTGATAAACATCCCTCGTGGAGAGCTCGCCGAAAAGGCGTTGCTTCGCGTGCAGGCCGACGCGCAACGAATCAGCGGACAGTGCGCGGACATGTATTTCCAAGCAGTCAACGTCACAGGGGCGTGGGCGGGCGCGAGTGCGAAGCTGACGGGCGGCCTTCGCTACTGCGCCCAGGACGCCGGCGGCAAGCAGGCCCGCTGGAGGCGGTTCGGGCCCGTGCAGTTGGAGATCGCACACGGGCGCGCGCAGGAGGGCACCAAGTATCTGAACCTCTACGTCAAGAGCCTCGGGCGCGCAGGCTTCGCCGTCGGAGGCTTGCTGGGAGAGGGCGACCACTCCCAGGAGCAGGTCCCTCCGGAGGAGTGCCACCACAGCATGGCCATGTAGGCGCGGGTCGGGCTTCCTCCTTCGGCGTCGGCGCCGGCGCATTCCACCGAGGCCCGTGACCAGCCGGGCCCCCGCTGGGCGCTGTAGCGGGGGGGAGGGTGCTGATGCGAAACCATCGCGACGTGGGAGTTTGGGGATCGAGGGGGTGAACATGCGGCACCCTATTGCAACTATCTGGCCTCTGGTCCGAGCCGCAGGCAGAGCCAGAGCCTGTGTTTTCGGCCGCCCGCTACATTTTCCGCGGGCCTTCCCACGGGAATGGCCATTCTGAGATTGCCGCGCACTGGCCAGAGCACTTCGCACATGTTTGCGCCTGTCCTCTGGACAAGACAAAATTCTGACGCCCCCTTAGCGAGCCCCAGGACAGCTCACAGACACTCCAGAAAGTGCCCCAAGAGACCCCTGCACTCCAAAATGGCCCACTTCACATTCAATGCCCACTCGTGCTGGCCTGGGCAGGTAGAATGTTCCCAATTTCTGCTCCTACAGCCAAGTGCAGTCCCAAAGGGTCCGTGGGCTTCCATTGTTTGCTCCACCGTGCTTCAGCAGCGCCTGGGAGGAGCCTCAGACGCGCCGGGGCCCCCTCTTGTCTGTTTGGAAGGCTCCTCGGAGAAGGGTCGAGCCTTGCCGCACTCGCGCGAAGCAGGAGGAGGAGGAGAAGGGGGAGGAGGAGGAGGGGGAGGAAGAGGCGGACGGAGACGCGCAAGTGGAGAGAGAGGATGAGTGAGGCTGAAGAGGAGGTCGAGGAGAGGGAGGGTGAGGAGAGGAGTGCGGCGGCGGAGTAGGGCGCAATTTAGGAGAGAGGGGGCGAGGGCAATCTTGCCACCCTTCCCACCCAAACATTGACGCTGCAGTGAATTTGTTTGAATCCGCCGACTAGACTGTAATAGATGACCTTGATCCCCAAGATGACCCCAAAGTGGGATGCGCACTTAAAAAGGGAGGACGTTGTACATCGGGCATTGAGAGCGAGGGGGCGATTGATCAGGTGGCAGGGTCGAGGAGGAGGAGGAGGAGCAGCAGCAGGAGGAGTAAACGTAGCAGGAGGACCAGGGGAATGCGGAGGGGGAAGAAGGATGGGGCGGCAACGGCGATGAACAAGTCGGATCCGGAGTTTCGGCTCGCGCTCGGGCGAGGGCGCAATGCCGAACGACGGGCGCAAACCTGTCCATGACCCAGTAGCGCGCCTTGCGAACGAGCACCCGTGGGAAGCGGTGCGTGTTCTGCGTGTGTGTCCTGTGTGCGCGGGTGCGCAGCCAGCCGTGCGCCCGGGATAGGGGGGGGGGTCCCACGCAATCAAGTATCGGGGGAGGGAGATGCGGGCAATTCGCGCCCATGCGGTGTAATAGTTGCGGAGGGGAGGTGGGGGGAGTAGGGAAATGAGATCGTATAGTACAATCCAGTCAAGGGATATAGCAAGTACGGCGAGCGCTGTTTGTTGAGCTATGCCTCGCTAGAGACGCGGATGGCCTGTCGCGCGCTACCCGCGCGGAGGAGGGAGAGGTCTCTGAGTCTGCGACCAAGGCCTGGACCTTGGGCCCCTCCGTTTCCTCCCACGGGTTGTTGGCCACTGTGGGTTCTCTTGTCCTTCTCCAAGGGCCAGGTCGCAGTATCTTCCCTGAAGCTTTTGACCCCCTTTCTGTTTCCCTGCCAGTGGTCCTGCGGGTCCCTGTTGGACCCTCTTGGGGTCCTCTTGGGTTGCCTCGGAGCCTTCTTGGGCCCCGCGGCCCCCAGGGGGAGGGTGGTTCTCTGACTCGGGACCCCCCCCGGGACCCCCCCCAGAAAATCTCCCGCCCACCCCCCCCCGGGAGGGAAGGGATCGAAGGGAACGGGCTTCCCTTCGACTCAACTCCGACGTCGCTCAATTTTGCTCTGGTTTCACTTTGGCTGCAGACATCTTACCTGCAAGGGGACAAATCACATGCGATTGCTTAGCGCGGCACGATGCCTTCCCATCTCTCCGTCGCCTTGTCGGCGCTCAAGTGCGAGACCCGACCTGCGTGAAGTCTGGATCTCCCTCGAGGGTTTCGCGGACCTTCCCGCCCCCTCCCCCCAGCTGGCCAGATCCTTCTCCTCCTCCTCCTCCTCCTCCTCCTCCTCCTCCTCCTCCTCCTCCTCCTCCCCCTCCCCCTCTCCCCTTCAATGGAAATGAGCTCGCCGCAGTCTGCGAACACACAACCTACGGTAGGTGCGTGTCGTGCCGACGCGGCAGCGACCCTTCCGCGGGCGTGGAAGGTGGAAAGCCACCCGGGGCCCAGAATCGGCCAATGTGGAACGATCGGGTGAGCGACATTCCGTCGATTGTTCAAGGCTGAACGATCCCGCGGTGTAAGTAAACAGCGCCATGGCCATCACGACACGAACCCTCCAACGGCGCAATCTTCTCGTGGCGAGCCCCCGCTGGGGAATGTTCGCCTCCTTCCGTGGGGCTAGCTCTTCATGCTGAGAGCTGTCTTTGCGGCTCTGCTGCTGGGAAACAGCATCCAGAGGTGGAAACCGCAGATCAAACGGCAGTTCATTTTTTCCGCGATGCCCTGATCTGAGGTCCCTCCCAAAAACGCCAAACGAACGTGATATTATTATTGCCATGTGTTATTGTTATTCTTATTAGATCTGCGACAATATCCAGATGTCGAAAGCATGGACAAACGAGCCACCCCTCAGATCTGGCCATCGTTCTGCGGCACGCGTCGTTTCGCGACACCCGCTCTGAAGGCGACAGACATCAGGCAGCGCTAGGACGCAAACGACAATTTTTGTGAGCGTCCAGGAACGCTCCCAGACCGTTCCCGCTCGTGCTGGAGCTGGCCGCGGTGTCCGACACGCCCTCCAGGCCCGCCGTCTCTGATACATTGGGAAGGCCTTTCGGCCGGCGCCGCCGACCATGAAGGGGGACGACGACCATGAGGGCGGCGTCGGCAACGGCGACGTGGTTGACGTGGGGCAGAGTCCTCAGGGATGCTTCCTGGGGCCTCTTCGCAGCGCGCTCGCAGGCCTCTGGGGGGCAGTTCTGGGCTGGGGGGCCGCTTGGGGGCATCTCAGGGTTCCTCTGGGGGGCTTCTTGGGGGTCCGTTCGTGCTTCCTTGGGGCCTCTTGGGGGACTGTTGGGTCCCGGGGGGGTGGCTCTTGGGGACGTCTTGAGGCCGCCTGGGAGCGGCTCGACATGTTTGTTCGGGCTCCCGTGTGTGTCGTTGCCGTGTGGGCACCCTCTTGGAGCCGTTTTGGGGGCCCCTTTGGGCCGTCTGGGATGCCTCGAGGGCCCTCTTGGGTCGATTTGGGGGGCCCTCTTGGAGACCTCCTGGGGGCCTTGTGTTTCGATCTTGGTGGCATCTTGGACCGCCTTGGGGCGTCGGGGAGCCAAAGAGGCGAGAACTCCGGAATGCTTCAGAAACCTATGAAGAACATCGCGGCATTTCGCCTGTTCGGGCCCTCTTGGTGTGCTCCCGGAGGCCTCTTCGAGCGTCCTCGCAGCCGCTTGGGCTGCCAGGAGGCGTTCCGTGGCGTCTCGGACCGAATGTTTGGCAATTCGGGTCCCAAGAGGCCGGATGACGGCGAGTGCGAGTGACGTGCTTCAGAGAGCCTCAAGACGGCCCGAACCTCCCGAAGAAAGTTTCAAGACGACTCCAGGACGTCCCAGGATAACCCGGAGATGTCCTTCGAGAGTTTGCGGGAGGGGCCAAGAGAGTTGCAAGGTGGCCGAAGAGGTCCCGAGATTCCGACGCCCTCCCCCGCTGGCATTTTGATTCAAGGCATCCGGGATCAGGCCGGAAAATTGTTTACCGAAGTCAATCATTCATTTTTTCATTGTTGGCATTGGCATTTGATGTCGCGAGCAGTGGCAGCCAATCAGGGATCATGGATTTGGTTCTGGTTGGTACATGTCCACAGCACGTCCACCGCGATTTCTCTGAGGACACAATCCAGTGCTAATTCGTCGGTGGCAGGCTATTCGTACTCAGCGATTCTTAACACCCACTGTGGGGGCTTGTCCATCTACACATGGGCGAATGGAGAAGCTGCTAATTACGGCCAAGGTTTCGTCAACGACATTCCTGGATGCAAGACGATGTGTGACAGTCATGCCGGCTGCGCCGGATTTGTTCAGCGCGATACAGACAACAAGTGTTCATTCTGGAAGTCTGGTCCTTTGGGAAACATCGACGCTGGTACCTACACCGAGCATCATTGCTACGAGAAGGGGGCTGCGATCGCCTCCAGTAGTCCAACGCCCAGCCCGACGCCCAGCCCGACGCCCAGCCCGTCGATTCCCAGTGATGGCGGCGCGGCCACTGGCGATCCCCACCTGCAGAACATTCATGGTGAGCGGTTCGACTTGATGAAGCCAGGCAGGCACGTTCTGATAAGCATCCCTCGTGGAGAGCTCGCCGAAAAGGCGCTGCTTCGCGCGCAGGCCGACGCGCGACGAATTAGCGGACAGTGCACGGACATGTATTTCCAAGCAGTCAACGTCACAGGGGCGTGGGCGGGCGCGAGTGCGAAGCTGACGGGCTGCCTTCGCTACTGCGCCCAGGACGCCGGCGGCAAGCAGGCCCACTGGAGGCGGTTCGGGCCCGTGCAGTTGAAGATCGCACACGGGCGCGCGCAGGAGGGCACCAAGTATCTGAACCTCTACGTCAAGAGCCTCGGGCGCGCAGGCTTCGCCGTCGGAGGCTTGCTGGGAGAGGACGACCACTCCCAGGAGCAGGTCCCTCCGGAGGAGTGCCACCACAGCATGGCCATGTAGGCGCGGGTCGGGCCTCCTCCTTCGGCGTCGGCGCCGGCGCATTCCACCGAGGCCCGTGACCAGCCGGGCCCCCGCTGGGCGCTGTAGCGGGGGGGAGGGTGCTGATACGAAGCCATCACTACGTGGGAGTTTGGGGATCGAGGGGGTGAACATGCGGCACCCTATTGTAACTATCTGGCCTCATGGTCCGAGCCGCAGGCAGAGCCAGAGCCTGTGTTTTCGGCCGCCCGCTACATTTTCCGCGGGCCTTCCCACGGGAATGGCCATTCTGAGATTGCCGCGCACTGGCCAGAGCACTTTGCACATGTTTGTGCCTGTCCTCTGGACAAGGAAAAATTCTGACGCCCCCTTAGCGAGCCCCAGGACAGCTCACAGACACTCCAGAATGTGCCCCAAGAGACCCCTGCACTCCAAAATGGCCCACTTCACATTCAATGCCCACTCGTGCTGGCCTGGGCAGGTAGAATGTTCCCAATTTCTGCTCCTACAGCCGAGTGCAGTCCCAAAGGGTCCGTGGGGTTCCATTGTTGCTCCACCGTGCTTCAGCAGCGCCTGGGAGGAGCCTCAGACGCGCCGGGGTCCCCTCTTGTCTGTTTGGAAGGCTCCTCGGAGGAGAGTCGAGCCTTACCGCACTCGCGCGAAGCAGGAGGAGGAGGAGGAGGGGGGGAGGAGGAGGAGGAGGAAGAGGCGGACGGAGACGCGCAAGTGGAGAAAGAGGATGAGTGAGGCTGAAGAGGAGGTCGAGGAGAGGGAGGGTGAGGAGAGGACTGAGGCGGCGGAGTAGGTCGCAATTTAGGAGAGAGGGGATGAGGGCAAGCTTGCCACCCCTCCCACCCACACATTGACGCTGCAGTGAATTTGTTTGAATCCGCCGACTAGGCTGTAATAGATGACCTTGATCCCCAAGATGACCCCAAAGTGGGATGCGCACTTAAAAAGGGAGGACGTTGTACATCGGGCATTGAGAGCGAGGGGGCGATTGATCAGGTGGCAGGGTCGAGGAGGAGGAGGAGGAGCAGCAGCAGGAGGAGTAAACGTAGAAGGAGGACCAGGGGAAAGCGGAGGAGGAAGAAGGATGGGGCGGCAACGGCGATGAACAAGTCGGATCCGGAGTTTCGGCTTCCGCTCGGGCGAGGATGCAATGCCGAACGACGGGCGCAAACCTGTCCATGACCCAGCAACGCGCCTTGCGAACGAGCACCCGTGGGAAGCGGTGCGTGTTCTGTGTGTGTGTGTGTGTGTGTCCTGTGTGTGTGTGGGTGCGCAGCCAGCCATGCGCCCCGGAGGGGGGGGGGGGGTCCCGCGCAACCAAGTATCGGGGGAGGGAGATGCGGGCAATTCGCGCCCATGCGGTGTAATAGTTGCGGAGGGGAGGTGGGAGGAGTAGGAAAATAAGATCGTATAGTACAATCCAGTCAAGGGATATAGCAAGTACGGTGAGCGCTGTTTGTTGAGCTATGCCTCGCTAGAGACGCGGATGGCCTGTCGCGCGCTACCCGCGCGGAGGAGGGAGAGGTCTCTGAGTCTGCGACCAAGGCCTGGACCTTGGGTCCCTCCGTGTCATCCCACGGGTTGTTGGCCACTGTGGGTTCTCTTGTCCTTCTCCAAGGGCCAGGTCGCAGTATCTTCCCTGAAGCTTTTGACCCCCGTTCTGTTTCCCTGCCAGTGGTCCTGCGGGTCCCTGTTGGACCCGCTTGGGGTCCTCTTGGGCTGCCTCGGAGCCTTCTTGGGCCCCGGGGCCCCCTGGGGGAGGATGGTACTCTGACTCGGGACCCCCCCCAGGACCCCTCCCAGAAAATCTCCCGCCCCCCCCCCCCCCCCGGGAGGGAAGGGATCAGAGGGAACGGACTTCCTGTCGACTCAACTACGACGTCGCTCAATTGTGCTCTGGTTTCACTTTGGCTGCAGACATCTGACCTGCAAGGGGACATTTCACATGCGATTGCTTAGCGCGGCACGACGCCTTCCCATCTCTCCGTCGCCTTGTCGGCGCTCAAGTGCGAGACCCGACCTGCGTGAAATCTGGATCTCCCTCGAGGGTTTCGCGGACCTTCCCGCCCCCTCCCCCCAGCTGGCCAGATCCTTCTCCTCCTCCTCCTCCTCCTCCTCCTCCTCCTCCTCCTCCTCCTCCTCCCCCTCCCCCTCCCCCTCTCCCCTTCAATGGAAATGAGCTCGCCACAGTCTGGTGTCACTGTGGCTGGCTCGTTTGAGGAGGAGGGCCCAGTGAAAGGGGGGCAGCGGCGGCGGGCCCAGGGAAAGGGTGTTTTTAACGCGATGGCGACGGCGACAAGGACAATGACGACGATGACGACGACGACGGCGACGACGACGACAACGAGGACAAGGACAAGGACAAGGACAACGACGACGACGACGACGACGACGACGACGACGACGACGACGACGACGAGTCAAACAGAACAGCGTCTTCCTCACGCCGACAGGGTCGGCGGACTCCCGATGGCCCCTCGTCCGAGTTTGGCCTCATCCTGTCTCTGTCTTGCAGTGGGGGCCCATGCCAAGAAACCCTGCTGGCCGCCAGGGTGCCCTGAGGTTTTTGGGTTTCGATGGTTTTGCGTTGGAGAGGGTGACGTTCCCACATCGACAATCAATAGACGCCCTGGGGTCTCAGGGTTGGGTTTCTTGTGGAAGTTTTCTTGCAGGGCCGGACCTCAGCGCTGTTTTGCTGGACTTCGGCTGCGTTTTGTTTTTCGTTTTGGGAGGGAGAGATCGGAGAACGGGTAGAGCAGAACGAAACACTAAACGAGAAACACTCAACGTGCAGGTCCCCGCCCTGGTCCCTTGCGAGTTGGCCTCCCCCTTGGCATCGCTCGGACGCGTGCATTTTTCCCTCGGCGAGGACAATCGAGGAGCATCCTTCATCATCTGGCGAACAAAACCTCACACGACACTGAACCATGCACGGGGAATGGACGTCCGAGCGAGTGCGAGCCCCTGCGCCTGAGGCTGGCGGCCTCTCCTCCGCCCTCCCGTCCCGCAGCACGCCGCGCTCCTCCGCGGGCCAGGCCTGGGGGCCTGGGGGCCGCCTCGCGGGCCGGCGCGCGCGCGACGGGCGTGGAGCGACCTCCTCGCCGAGCCCCCCTGGGGTCGGGCGTGTCCTCCCACAGGCGGGATCTGGACGAGACCGGAGAGATAGTCGGGCAACAATGCTCGAACATTGCCCCGAACGGTGACAACAAATCGTCCCCGGGACTCTTTTTGTTCCAAGGTTGCATTGTCCTCCTGCAGAGGGACGCGCCCGACTCGAGCCCGGCCTCGCCCGCCCTCTCTCGGCGTGGCTGGTGGCGGGGGTGGGACTCGCGCCACCCAGCCCCCCCCCCCCCCTGCTTGCGAGAACCGCGAGGCGCTCCATCCGACGTCCGACGGCGACCCCCCCCGCCCCCCGCCCCCCTCCTCCTCCTCCTCCTCCTCCTCCTCCTCCTCCTCCTCCTCCTCCTCCTCCTCCTCCTCCTCCTCCTCCTCTCCTCCCTCCTCATCTCCCTTCTCCTCCTCCCTCCCTTCTCCTCCTCCTCCTTTTTCCTCCTCCTCCTCCTCCTCCCCTCCCTCCTCCTCCCTCCTCCTCCTCCTCCTCCTCCTCCTCCTCCTCCCTCCTTATCCTCCCTCCTCTCCCCTCCTCCTCCTCCTCCCTCCTCCTCGTCCCTCCTCCTCATCCTCCTCCTTCTCCTCCCTTCTTGTTCTCTCTCCTCCTCCTCCCTCCTCGATCGTGGCTCATTTCGATGCCGCCGATCCGATTCGAGTCGATGTCGATGGAGTCCGATTCGACTCGATTTCGGATTCCGATTCGGGATCCGAATGCTCATTGGAGGCCTACTAGTCTGCCGATGTCTGCCGATTCGGCTTTTGCCGACTCGGCTGTCGATATCCGTCGACCCGATTCATACCGATCGCCGATCCGAGTTGTCGATCCGATTATGAGCTCTCCTGCCCACCCCGCGACCCAACCGCGACCCATCCCGCACCTGCCCCCCTCGTTCTTATCTGCAATTGCGGGGTGTGCTGCGCATGCTTCAGATTCATCCTCCTTCGAGTTTGGCCTCACCCTGCCTCCAGCAGGGCTGGACCTAAACGCTGTGTTGCTGGACTTCGGCTGTGTGTTGTTTTTTTCGTTTTGGGCGGGAGGTGCAGGAAAACAGGTGGAGCAAAACAAACATACAATGAACAACAACGTTCAGGTCCTAACCCTGCCTCGAGCCTCTCCCCGCCCCCACCCCCGCCGCCCCCCCTTCCCTCCACCACTCGGGAGGAGGCTGGCGCCAGCGCCAATGCCAGCGCCGCCGCCCCGGGCGCGGCCTCTGCCGCGAGCGGCGGCGCCGCGAGCAGCTCCTCGGGAGCGCCGCTCCCCCTCCCGTGGCCTGCTGGAGCTCGCCTGTGCATCCTCCGGGGGAAGAGGGGAGGGGAGGGGAGGGAGGGGTAGGGGAGGGTCAAGCTAGCCAGCTCGAGCGAGTCAAGCATGGCATGCCCATTCCCACCCGCCCTCCCACAACATAAGAAACAGTGATGGCACAACTGGGGGCTGCGCGGGCATTTCAATGTCGCAGGTCCCAGAGCGCTGACTTCAGGTCCCAGAGCGCCCCAGGAACGCCCCAAGAGAGCCGAGACACCCTCGAGACGATCCGAGGGGCCTTGAGTCGCCGAAAGATCGTACCGAGACGCCCAAGATGGCCTCCAGACGGCCGCAGACGCCGCCAAGAAACCGCGGGGAGCCTCTCGAGGCCCTCCAAGAGCCTGAACAAGCAAAAACCTCCCAGGCATTCGTCACCCCAGGGCCTCCTGGAACGCCCCGGCGCCCAATGAATTGGCGAGCTAGAAACGTGCGACGAGCCAAAGCGGGAGCGCAACTTTGAGAAAATATCGCTCGGCGCCCAAGCGGGAAGGTCATTTCATTCACTTCGAGCGGGGGGGGGGTGCCGCGCCCAATTCTTGCCATGCACTTTTGCGGGGTGGACGACAAGAACAGCTATGCGTGCAGGGAAAATCAGCATGACATTGCTTCTGACAAGTAAGGTGGCCCCTCCCGCCTTGGGGTTGCCCCAGAACTCCGCGCGCGCTGTGCGCTGCACCCCATTCCCGCCACGCATTTCGCATCGTCGAGGACAAGATAGGCCATGATGAAAGGAAAAACGGCTAAAAAACAATCAGGATGGGAGGGCCCGCAGCCCGCATGGACGTCCGCGCGCGATGCGCGCCGCGTCCCATTCTTGCCATATATTTCGCACCGTCGGCGACAAGGGAGGCCATCTGAGAGGAAACAACGGAGACGTCGTATTGATTCAGTCAGGATGGGCGGGCCCGGATTGACGGCCGCGCGCGCGATGTGCGCCGCGTCCCATATGTACGCCGCGTCCCGCTGCTGCCACATATTTCGCACCGTCGGCGACAAGGCAGGCCATGCTGACAGGAAACAACGAAGACTTCGTATTGATTTTTCACAGTCAGGATGGGCGGGCCCAGATTGACTGCCGCGCGCGATGCGCGCCGCGTCCCATTCCTACCACGCTTTTCGCATCGCCGACGACAAGAAAGACGATGTTGAGAAGAACAACGGCCACTTTGTATTGATTTTCACAGTCCGGATGGGAGGTCCAGGATTGGGCCGCTATCGGCCGGAATACGAGGTAGGTGGTGGTATATTCGAATAAAGAACAGTATAGGGGGGGGCAGGGGAGGGGGAGGGAAGAGAGGGAGGGGAGGGGAGGGTAACGGAGGGGAAAGGGGGGGAGGGAAGGTGAGGGGAGGAAGGGGGAGGGAGGGGAGGACGGGAGTGCAGGGGAGGGCGGGGGAGGGGAGGGGAGGGTGTTCGAGCACGGGGCACGACCACCACCGCCACCAAGATCACGAAAAGAATGCGCGCGGTGCGCTGCTGCGTGCTCCTCTGGCTCGTGTGCGGAAGGCCTGCCTTCATGCAGACCCGGGCGCCACGATGGCCAGGACCCCCCCTTCTTTCGCGTGCGGGGTCTCCGTCCAACCTTCAAAGACCGCGGCGCTGCGACTCGCAGTGTTCCACCTCGGCACGCCCGCGCTGAGGTCGCCGCCGCGTCAACGCGCCGCGAACATGCCGCACGGTGCGCCCCAGAGAAGAGCTAGTGGTTCAACTGCTCGCGACAACGCCATTTACCATAGCCGCCGCCCCCTCCCCCTCGTCCTCCTCCTCCTCCTCCTCCTCCTCCTCCTCCTCCTCCTCCTCCTCCTCCTCCTCCTCCTCCTCCTCTTTTCCTCCTCCTCCTCCATTCCTCCTTTTTCTCCTCTCCTCCTCCTCCCTTTCTCCTCCTCCTCCTCTCCTCCTCCTCCTCCCCTCCTCCTCTCCTCCCATCCCCCTCCTCCTCCCCTCCTCCCCCTACTCCTTCTCCTCCTCCTCCCCTTCCTCCTCCTCCTCATCCTCCTCCTTCCTCCTCCTCTCTTCCTCCTCCTCCTCCTCCTCCTCCTCCTCCTCCTCTACTCCTCTCATCCTCCTCCTCCTCCTCCCTCCTCCTCCTCCCCTCCCCTCCTCCCCCCCTCCTCCACTCGCTCCTCTCTCCTCCTCCCCTCCTCCTCCCCTCCTCCTCCTCCTCCTCCCCCTCTTCCTCCTCCCTCCTCCTCTCCTCCCTCCTCCTCCTCCTCCTCCCCTCTCCTTCCTCCTCCTCTCCTCCTCCCCTCCTCCTCCCTCCTCCTCCTCCCACCCTCCTCCTCCTCGTCTCCTCCTTCTTCCTCCTCCTCCTCTTCCCTCCTCCTTCTCCCTCCCCTCTCCTTTTCCTCCTCCTCCTCCTCTTCATCCTCTCCTCCTCCTCCTCTCTCCTCCTCCTCTCTCCTCTCCCTCCTCCTCCTCCTCCTCCCCTCCCCCTCCTCCTCCTCCTCTCCTCCTCCTCCTCTCCTCCCCCTCCTCCTCCTCCTCCCTCACTCCTCCTCATCCCTCCTCCTCTCCTCCTTCTCCTCCTCCTCCTCCTCCTCCTCCTCCTCCCTCCTCCTCCTTCTCCTCCCCTCCCCTCCTCTCCTCCCTCCTCCTCCTCCTCCCCTCCTCTTTCCCCTCCTCCTCCTCCTCACTCCTCCCCTCCTCCTCCTCCTCTCCTCCTCCCCTCCTCCTCCTTACCTCCTCCTCCTCCCTCCTCCTCCTCCTCCTCTCCTCTCCTCTCGTCCTCCTCTCACCCTCCTCCTCCTCCCTCCTCTCCTCCCTCCCCTCCTCATCCTACCTCTCCTCCTCCCCTCTTCCTCCCCCTCCTCTTCCTGCTTTTCCTCCTCCCCCCTCCTCTTGCCTTTTCCTCCTCCACCTCCTCCACCTCCACCTCCTCCTCCTCCTGGACCCGCAGCGTGCGACTCGCCTGGAGAGCCGCACGGGCGGGGCAGGCCGCCGGAGGCTTGTTGTCCGAGAGGCGCTCGCGCCGAGCTCAACCGTTTGGGGACCCCCGAGCGGTGCGGTGGTCGTCGCCGCGCGGTGTTTGGGGGCGCGGGCCGTTCTCCGAGGCTGTCTCTCGGGCGACTGGGGCTTCCCAGGTCCCAGGGCCTCCTCCTCATCCTCTCCCTTCTCATTCTCCTCCTCCTTCTCCTCCTCCTTCTCCTCCTCCTGCTCGACCTCCTCCTCCTTCCCCTCCTCCTCCTCCTCCTCCTCCTCCTCCTCCTCCTCCCCCTCCTCCTCCTCCTCCTCCTCCTCCTCCTCCTCCTCCTCCTCCTCCCTCCTCCTCCTCCTCCTCCTCCTCCTCCTCCTCCTCCTCCTCCTCCTCCCCTCCTCTTCCCTCCTCCTCCTCCTTCTTCTCCTCATCCTCCTCCTCCTCTTCCTCCTCTCTTCCTCCGCTTCCTCCTCCTACTCCCTGATCCCGCGTGCCTCGGACTCACGCTAACATTGTGACCAATTCGTGGGTGTGGCGCGTGGGCGCCAGATCCACGGATCGGGGAGAAAACACCCGAATCATGGCGCCAACGCCGCCTGATTCTGCCACGGCGCGCGTCGCCTTCGCATGGCATGGGGACCCGCTGCAGGGCTTGTTTCGATTCCTCTGATTCGATTCGATTCGACTTCGCGATGGCTTCCGATTCGATGGGGGCTTCCAAATTCGATTCGACCTGGGATTCGATGGGGGCTCCCATTTCTCGTTGGAGGCCCACTGGCCTGCCGATCTCCGCCGATTCGACTTCTCCCGACTCGGCTGCCGATTCCGCGGATCCGATCCAGTTCGATCGCCGATCCGACTTGTCGATTCGATTCTGGGTTCTCCTGCGCTGCCACTCCGCGCGCCTGGATACACGCGTGCGCTCCCTCGATGTGGTTGCCGCTCCCGCCCCTGCGGGGCCCCCTGGGCAGAGTTGTGGCCACACCGCGCGGCGAGTCTCGCCGCAGTGTCTGCGGGTTCGGGTCGTTCCCCGAGGACGCCTCGGGCGACCGGGGCCTCCGGGGTCCCAGGGCCGTGCGGGGACGGGCCGCGATGTGAGGTCTCCTGGGGGCCCCCACCGTCGCCGCGCGGTCCGTCACCACATGGCTGTGGAGGGGGGCCCGAGCCTCCCTGTTGGCTGCACGCAATGGGAACCCCAGGCAAGGGTGGCCTTTGTTGCCGAGCGGCTGCCGAGGTCACCATGCGGTCCGTGCCCAGACGGTGGTGGGGCCCCGAAGAGTCCAACCTCCAGCCCTCCCTGCAGTGGAGGCCTGCCAAGAAACACCCTGCTTGCCTCCAGGGTACCCGGGGTTTGGGTTTCGATTGTTTTGCTATGGACAGTGTGACGTTCCCACAACAAAAATCAATGGACCTCCTGCTATCTCGGGGTTGGGTTTCTCGTGGAAGGCTTCTTGTGGTCGGGCCCCATACAGTGCCCTCTTCCTTTTCCGCCTACCAGAGCCCCTGAGGCAGCACCTTCGGCTCGGCTTGCTCTCCGCGTCGGGCGCTCCCTCCGCATTTCTGTCGATGCCGCTGCCGCCGCCATCGTCACATCATCGGTGCCGTCGGCGAGGGCCGTCAGCGTCGACATCGTCGGAGGAGGTGAGGAGAAGACGGGAGGGGGAAGGAGGAGATCACGGGGCGGGGGGAGGGGTGCGGGGGATGAGGGAGGTGGAGGAGCTAGGATGCCGAGGGAGGACGAGTGGGAGGAGGAGGGATGAGGGGTGAGAAGTTAGTCAGACGAGGAGCCAGAGGAGGAGCCCGAGGAGGAGGAGGAGGGGGAGGAGGAGAAGGAGCCGGAGGAGGTGCCCGAGGAGGAGGAGGACGAGGAGGAGAAGGGAGGCCATCTTCATGGTTGCGCCAAGGCCCTGGACGAGGGCTGTGTCCACCGCCAGGCTCGGCAACGCCGTGTTTTTGCTCACCTTGCCTTAGAACGCGGCCAACATGAAGGTCGGCTCAAGCCAGGGCTGGACCTGAACGCTGCTTTACTGGACCTCGGCTGTGTCTTGTTTTTCGTTTTGGCAGGGAGGTACCGGAAAATAGGTGAAGCAAACCAAACACAACACACAAAACAAAGTTCAGGTCCACCAGCTGTTTCCCTCCCTGCCAGGGCTGCTCCCAGCCTTGACACCACTACCTCCCCCTCCCCCTCTCCCTCTCCTCCGAGCAGCGATTCCTTCGCCAGCGCCTCTCGGGCAGGGCGGGGAGGAGGAGGAGGAGAAGGAGGAGGAGGAAGAGGAAGAGGAGGAGGAGGAGGAGGAGAAAACGGAGGAGAATCAGAAGGAGGAGGAGGAGGAGAAGCAGGGAAGGGCGAGAAGGGAGGAGGAGGAGCGAGGAGGAGGGGGTCCGAGGAGGAGGAGAAGAAGGAGGAGGACCGGAGGGAGGAGGAGTGCGGAGCATGGAAGGCGGACGAGGAGCATTGAGAGGTGTAGGAGCCGCCGAGCGCCCAGGCGGCGCGGCCGCCTCCTCCAGCGGCGCAGCCGGCAGCGGGGTGCGCCAGCGCCCCCGTTGCTCCGGTCATGTGCTCACCGAGCGCGTGTCACTTTTCGTGAAGTGCCTACTCGCAATGTCCAACAAAAACATGCAGTGGAGGCCCGTGCCAAGAAATAGGGGAATGATAAATGACATAAGCATGAAAACTCGGAGGTCCGCGCTGATTTCTCGGATCGGCGCTGGGGCCCTCTCTCTTGGCGCGCTCCGCGCGCCAGGGAGGGAGGTCCAGCGCAGGTCCAGGAAATCCACTCGGACCTCCAAAAGTTCATGGTTATGCAGTTTGTTCTTCCTCTATCAAGGGGGTGTCCAGCGCCGATCCGAGCAACCCGCGCGGACCTCCGAGTTTTCTGTGTTTATGTCATTATTCGTTCCCCTTTACTCGCAAAGTCTCCATGGTGTCCTGGATTTCTTGGGTTTCGGTGGCTTTGCTATGGGAAGCGTGATGCTCCCACACCAAAGATCAATGGACTTCCTGGGGTCTCGGGCTTGGGTTTGTTGTGTAAGGTGTAAGGTTTCTTGTGGTCGGAGCCCCACTGTATGATGTTCGATGCAATGGAGCTTCTTTGCCTCGACTTACCGGATCCAGGCCATTTGCGAGCAGCTACCCTGCGAGTGGTGGGACGCGCTTGTCCTGGCCGCTCGCCCGCGCCTTCCCCGGCGGCCCTCGGGGGAGGGCGTGGCGCGGAGAGCATCAGAGGGGGCAGCGAGGAGGACCATCCGGAGGCGGACAAGCAGGAAGAAGACGAGGAGGGGGACGTGGCGCGGAGAGTATCAGAGGGGGCAACGAGGAGGACCATCAGGAGGCGGACAAGCAGGCAGAAGACGAGGAGGGGGACGAGGAGGACGACTCCATTTCGGCCCTCTCGTGCGCTCTGCACGCCCGCCCCCCTCGCCCGGCCTCTCTCGCCCGTCGGGTGCCCCTGCCTCCCCCTCCCGCCCCCCGCTCTCGTCCCTCTGCCGCTGCTCCCGAGACGTCGTTGGGGTCATCGGGAGGACCCTCGGGAGGAGGAGGAGGAGGAGGAGAAGGACCAGCAGGACGAGGGCCAGGAGCAGGACGCGGAGGACGAGGAGGCGGCGGCGAGGCAGGGGCCTCGGGCCGAGCCCCCCAGGCGCCCGCGGCCTCCTCCAGCAGCGGCTCGGCGCCCGCGGCGCCCGTGTCCTCGGCGGTGGCCTGCGCCCTGGCGGCGGGGCCGATGCCGTGCGCCCGGCGCGTCCACATCCTGCCTGTGGAGAGGAGCCCGGACGCGAACGACCAGAGGCCGCGCTCTCGAGTCGAGGGCCAAAAGAGAAGCGCCATAGTCATGAACCTCTTGGCGGTCCGCGCGGATCTCTTGGATCCGCGCTGGGCCCCCCCGACGGCGCCTCCCGCGCCGCCCCTGCCCACCAGGGAGGGGGGGTCCGGCGCAGGTCCAAGAAACCCGCGCGGACCTCCAAAAGGTTCTGTTCATGTGAAGTTTCATGTCTTCCTCCATCGAGGGTTCTCCAGTGTTCTAGGCCTCCTAGCCTAGACGGGGTCCGAGCAGTTGGGGTCGGAAGTGCGCGCCGTATCGGCGATGCGGCCCGATGTGGAGCCCGACTTCTCCACGCTGTCGTCGCCGATGCATCGCCGGCGTCGTTCGTGCATCGCCGATGCATCGGAGATGCGGCGCGATTCTCCGACCTCATCTATTCCGACCCCATCTAAGATTAAGTCGGGCATGTCCCTCGACAGGAGGAATATTCCAAAATAGTCGAAAACTATTATGGGGCAGATTTCTGAGTATTTTGTCGATAAGTTTTGATGTCTGTTGTTTGGGGTATGTTTTATCTTCCGTCCAAAATCCGCCTGCAGAGGGGGACATGCCCGACCCAAATCCAGGAGGCCTCAATCGAGGCGTCTGCAGTGTCCGCCCGCCGTGGTCAGAGGAGGGCGAGCTGATGCGGCGGCAGCCGTGGCTGGTCTTCGGGGGGGGGACCCCGTCGTCGCAGCGGGAGGCGCTGCTCGGGAGATATGTGCGTCTGGGCCCCGGGGGCGGTGGTGGTCAGGAGGGGGAAAAAAAACACAGACACAATGAATCGTCGATCCCGCGGAAAATATGGGAAACTGTGGGAAGTGGGGGGGAAGACGAGAATCCCAAAAATATGCAGAAATAATGGGAATTAGGTTATTTGCGTGTATATTTTTTTTTTGTGTGTGTGTGTCCCTGGGCCCCCTTGGGTGGTCCAGGCACGAAGGGCCAGAGGCCGCACGCACCAGTCGGGGGCGGCCAAGAGGGGGGAGTGATGCCTGAGCCGGAGGGGATACCGTGGCGGGTGCCATGACTCGAAGAAGAAAACCGGCGCCGCCCCTGGCGCGCGCCGCGCGCCAGGGAGGGGGGTCCAGCGCAGATCCAAGACGTCCGCGCGGAGAGTCAAACGATTCTATGTTTGCCGTTTTTGCTTCATCTTCTGATGATCCCACCCCAGATTTCATGGCGCCTCTTCTCATTTCATTGCGTCCCCGGCCCCCGCCGGGGCCGCGCACGTGCCGCCAGCCATGAGTTGCGCCCCCCCCCCCCCCCTTGGACGCCCCCTCTTGCACGCCCCCGAACGCTCGACCTGTCTGACGCCCGCGTGGATGCCTTGGATCGGCGCTGGGGCCTCCAGGCGGCGCGCACGGCTCCGCCCCTGGCGCGCTCCGCGCGCCAGGCGCTCCGCGCGCCAGGCAAAGGGGTCCAGCGCAGATTCGAGAGATCCGCGCTATCTTCCAGAAGCTGTTGCCTTGTGCCGCGCTGTCTGCCTTGAACTCAGCATCGCTCGGACGCTTGCACGTTTCAGCTCGGCGAGGACCAACAAGGAGCATCACGGGTCATCTTCCCAAACCCGGCCTCATCCCGCTCAATCCGGCACAGTCCCGTTTAATCGGGCTCAGTCCCGCTTGAGTGACGGCCCAGTCTGGCGCAGCAGCCCCCCAATGGGGTTTCATTGGTCTTCTTTCCGGCGAAGACCTTCCAGTAGTCGTTTCCTAACCCTCGGGTTCCCGAGGGAGCACAAAAGATGCACACCTCTTCCCCCCCGCCCGCTCATCGTCCACCCCCTACTGTGAAGTCGGGCGTGTCCTTCACAGGAGATATATTTAAACATTGTCAAACAAAAGTCATGTAGATGTTTCTACTTTATGTTATTTTTGTTGATACGGTGTTTGATTTGTTCTGGCTATGTTTTATTTCTCGTCCAAAATCCGCCTGTAGGAGGACATGCCGAACCTGACCCTAATGAGCAACGCGCGGGTTCGAGCACGCACCCGCTCTCTCATCCGCGGGCGCGGGTGTGCCATTATCGTTCCATGCCTGCGTTCTCCAGAGCAGCTTTGCAGTCTACACTGCAGCATGCTTCTGAACAAATAATGGTGGTATTGCATGGTATGCAATCGCATTGAAAAGCGGATGAGGTGGATGTGCCCTGCGTTTGTGCGCATCAATGCATGTATTCGTTTTCGCGTCCGGATTGGTTTGCATTCCTATTTTCTTGTTAGCCTCTTTGTGCCTACGTGCATCTATTTGCCTGTGCCTATCCGCCGGATGAGTTTCAATTGCTCCTCGCACCAGGGCATCTTCCTCCTTGTCTCTCTGGCTTCAACGCAGAGCTCCGCTAGATTACAAACACATGAATGGGCCGTACGCTGGATTGTAGATCTCAAGCGCTGGGTTGTCGAGACTTCCCGTGATGCCCTCCTAGGAGGACCGTAGAACGTTCTTGCCATCTCCAGCTAGGAGGTCCACGAGGCTTCCCCGAGCTGGTGGTAGGGGATGGCTCGAGCGAGAGAGGGGATCACACCAGTAGGGTTGTGGAGGGCGATCAATGGAGAGGAAGCATGCTGCCAAATAATTTCCAGATGCCTAGAAGATGTTTCAACCAGGTTCTAAATATATTTAAAGCATGTTTAAATCTATTAGAGCATGGTTTGCACATTTTAAACACATCTTTTATTCAATGATAGGATTGTTAGAGTGTCCATTGTCATGGCATCCACAACACTAGGGCGACCCCCATGGCTCCTCCCGCTGGTGGTCCCCCTGGTGTGGGTGGTGTCGCTGTTCCTTGTTCGCACAAGAAGGAAGAGCTTGGCATTGCGCGGACGTTTGATTATTTTTGCCTCGGCGAGGACCACCGAGGAGCGTCCTGGATCATCTTCTTGCGAACGAAAAATTAAAACGCACGGCACCGACAAAAGACTCTTGGAACGGATGTCCCAGCGACGGCGAGACAGGGGGCCCTGGGGGAAACGGGTCCCGATGCATTGCTCGCCGTTGCCGTTCCCCGGGAGCCCTCCACGGGCCCCAGGGCAACCAGACAAGGCCGCGGGGCGAACAAAAATTCGGTCCAGCCCAGATCATTGGACACAGATTTTTTTGTCGGTCGCGTTCGGTAGCGACCGATCGACACTCCAAATCGGTCGCGACCGATCGCGACCGATCCCAAAATCGGTCGCGAGCGGTCGCCACCGATCGGCCGCGACCGATCCGTCGACCGAATCTGAAGCAAATCGGCCGCGACCGATACCGGAATTCGCAGCACAAACGACAGCGACCGATCTCGTAGGTCGCGACCAGGATTAAGTCGGGCACGTCCTTGTGCAGGAGGAATCTTCAAAAATTGTTAAAAAATAGGCTGGGGACGATTTCCCAATTGTTGTTAGACAATTTTTGATGTTTTGCTGACTACCTTCGATTTGTCCTCCCACATCCCCCTGCAGGAGGACATGCCCGACCTAAGACCAGTATCCAATGATCAGGGAGGGAGGCCCTTCTGGGTCCCGGGTCCTTCTGGGTCCCCAGGGCCCCTTCGCCTCGGGGCCCGTTGGCCTCGTGCTACCTGCCCTCCTCCGCCTCTGCAGAGCTGCAGGGAGCTCCCCCTTTTTTGAGTCGCACAGGGCCCCCTGCTCGGATGCCACTCCTGGGATTAAGTCGGGCATGTTCCTCTACAGGAGAAATATTCAAAAATAGATAAACAAATAGACTGGGAAAGACTTGTTCTTTTTGTTTGCTGTTTAGGTGTATTTTTTTGACTATAAGAGGAGGTCAAAGTGTGACTCTGCCCTGGTCTGACCACCGGCGTCGTCCGGCTCCCCCCCGCCGAGTCCGGCATTGAATCCCGCTCCATGCGGCTTATAGGCCCGCGTAACTCATCCGCGGCCTAACCCGGCGCAGCAGCCCCCCAGCCCAGGTCATTCAATCGGTCGCGGCCGATCGCGACTGATCCCAGAATCGGTCGCGACCAGTCGCCACTGATCGCGGCCGAATAGTCGCAACCGATCGGTCGCGACCGATTTTATCGCAAATCGGTCGCGACCGATGCCGAAATTTGAAGCAGAATCGGTAGCAACCGTTCCCGTCGGTCGCGACCAGAAAATTCCAGTACCCAATGATCAGGGAGTGGGGCTCAGTTCTCCCTAATCCTTCCGACGACGACCTCCCAGTAGTTGCTTCCTAACCCCTTCGCCCTTGCGGGCGGCCATGGGGCAGTCACGGGCGGCCACGGGGTGGCCACCAGCAGCAATCGTTGGGTTACCCACCCAAATCTCGATACATGGGCGCCTCCCGGCGCTGGAGGCGCAAGGAAAATCAGCTCCGTGAGCTAATTCTCACCCCCCCCCTTTGCCAACCCCCCCCCTTTCGCCGGGCCCGACCGTCGTCCCCCTGAGAGAAGCCGCCGTGGTGGGAAGAAAGCGGCGGGGAGCGGGGAGTCCGCCGCCGCGCCTTCCGCGGAGGCGGCTGGAGCTGCTCGCGCCCAAGCTGCGGGAGCTGCGAAATAGCAAGGCGCCGCGCGGGGGCGGGGGGTCTGGGGAGGCACAGGTACAGAAGCCGCTGCAGTGGAGGCCCATGCCAAGAGACACCCTGCTTGCCTCCAGGGTGCCCTGGTTTTCTTGGGTCTCGACGGCTTTGCCATGGAAAACGTGACGTTCCCACGGCAAAAGTCGGTGGACCTCCTGGGGTCTCAGGGTTGGGTTTCTTGTGGAAGGCTTCTTGTGGACTGGCATCCTTGTCTCATGTTTGCCCGTTTCGGCCTCCTGGGAGGCCCTCCTCGCCACGCTGGGATTCGCTTTGACATCCCCCCGATCAGAACGCACCCCCTGGAGAGGTTCGGGCAGCAGCGGTATCGGCAACGTAGCCTTCAAGTCGGGCATGCCCCTCTACAGAGGAGTTATGCAAAAAGTAATCAAAGGAATCGTATGGGGACGATGTTCTTGTATTTGTGATGTTGTTTGATCTTTTTGTTGGCTATTTCAATGTTCCTTCGAACATCTGCCTGCAGGAGGACATGCCCGACCTACTCGTAGCCAGGCGGTGGCATGGGATGGGGATGGCGTTGGAACCGGCTGGGGGGCCTGAGGTGGCCCAGCATTGTGTTTGGCCAGCAGGAAGGGGGGGGGGTGAGAAAGGGGCCTCTCACTGCCATGGGTGGGGCGCGAATCGAAAAAGTTGTCAGTTTGGGCCCCGGGTGCGGTCTGGGGACCGATTGTGAGCGAGTTTGCCCTCACCCGCTCTCTCTTGACAAATTCTCACTCTGCCCTGGTCCGGACTCCAGCTTAAACTAGCTTACCATGATGATCGGATATTGCAATTTTCCAGTCGCGACCGACGAGATCGGTCGCTACCGATTTTGCTTCAAATTTCGATACCGATCGCGACCGATTTGCTTCAAAATCGATCGCGACGGATCGGTCGTGACCTGTCGGTCGCGATCGATGGCGACCGGTCACAACCGATTTTAGGATCCGGTCGCGACCGATTTTGGAGTGTCGATCAGTCGCTACCGATCGCCACCGAAAAGAAGTTGTATCAAATGATCTGGGTAGTGCCGCCTGATGCTGCTGAATCCTGTTTAATCTGGCTTAATCCCGTTGAATCTGCCTTTTTTGGCGTAGCGGCCCCCCAATCGGGTTTAATCCTTTTTGAATCCTTCCGACGGAGACCTCCAAGCAGCTGCCTTCTAGCGGATTTTCTTTGGATTTCTCCACCTCACATGTCCAGGCCGCCTCCCAGGGGGGATCCTCTTTTGCCTGGACGGCGCCAGGAAGGGAATGTGGCCCTCAAGCTGTGATTGCGCAGTTGTCTGCTGGGCCTGGCTCTCTTTTGTCATTTCAGCTCGTGATTCACAAACAAACGACTCAAACCAACGGGGTCGTTTGCGCCGACATTGGCGCTCAAGCCGCCCGCGTAAGGTCGCGCGTAAGCGCTTTCGTCTCTAATGTAGCGTGCCGTGCCAGCGGCCCGCGTAAGCCACGGCGTAAGGTCCGTGCGTCATCTCGCGTAAGTTCTTTTTCTTTGATCGCCGCTCCAAAAAAACCGCGGGGCGCTATGCTTTTCCTGTGCAAAAATCACGCGAGCCAAGGGGGCCGTCGCGGTCGCCGCCTACCCACCCGCACGGAAGCCTCACATAATTGTTTTCCGTATAGAAGATGTTTTGGGCATTATTTAAGTCCAAGTCGAAGTTTTCTTCCTCTCGGGAAGGTTTCTGACGCGCCACTGTCGTCGTCGTCATCGTCCTCGTCGTCGTCAACGTCAACGTCGTCGTCGTCGTCGTTGTCGTCGTCGTGTTTTTGTCGTCGTCGTCGTTGTCGTCGTCGTCGTTGTCGTCGTCGTCGTCGATTGCTGCGGGCCTGCACAGCACCCCCCCCGCCCCCCATTGGGCATCCGCAGTGCGTCATCGTCGTCGTCGCGTTTTTGGCGCCGTCGTCGTCATCGTCGTCGTCGTCGTCGCCGATTGCAGCGGGCCTGCAGCTCTCCCCCCCCAAGGGGTTGCACCAGCAATGCGTCGCAATGCGTCGCGTCGTCGTCGCTTCGTCGTCGTGGGACGTCGTTCTCGTCGTCGTCGTTGTCGTCGTCGTCCGTCGTCGTCGATGTCGACTACAGCGGGCCTACGCAGCACCCGCCCATGAACCATGGGACACTCGCAGTGCGTCGTCGTCGTCCGCCGTCGCCGTCGTCGTCGCCATCGCCGTCGTCGTCGTCGTCGTCGTCGTCGTCGTCGTCGTCGTCGGCGTCGGCGTCGGCGTCGGCGTCGGCGTCGGCGTTGGCGTCGTCGTTATGTCGTCGTGGGACATTGTAGTGGACGGGGGGGAACCCCTTTTTTCGCGTGCCTTCGTCCCCCCCCTCTTCCCTGTTTTGTTTGTAGCCATCTCGGCACCGCCCGCCTGCTGAAGCGCCCCTGTCCCCCGCTTCATGGTAGTCCACTGTGTGTCCCCATTTTGGCCCATCCGCCCCGCTAAAGCGGAGGTCTTGTTATCCCCATCCGCTTGTTGTCGCCTGGGTGTCGACGCTCATCACCGGCGCCGACGCCGCGTGTTTCCATCCATTTGTCGGGCATCCCCCCACGATTCGCCTGAACAGGGACATTTCTGTTTAATCGCGTGCCCCGCTTGTCCATGCTGACCACGAGCTGACATTATTGTGGGCCTCCTGGGCCGTTTTTGAGCTCTTTTGGGGGTCTCGTCGACCGTTTTGGGATGATCTGGGTGCGAGTCCGGGGGGCCCACAGGGCCGCCTCAGATGCCAGAGGCCTGTAGAAGCGAGCACGCGAATACTTCTCGAACATATCATCAAAAACAAAAACTTTTACCTCTTGAGACCTTCTTGTGGGTTCTCTTGGAGCCCTCGTGGGGCGTCCTCGGGTGACTACGGCCGTCTTGAGGCCATCTTGGGACTATCTGGGGCCGCCTTCGGGGCCCTCTTAGGATGTCCTGGGACCATATCTGGCTTTCCTTGGCCGTCTTAGGTTTTCTTAGGTTCTGGGCAGACCTACGGGACGCAGCCCAATCATTTTGTGAATCCGGGGCATTGGGGCTTATGAAGGTGTTCAGATCTTTCATTTCAGCAAAGAGGATTCGAACTCACCCCCGAGCGCTCCGCGTAGTGGCCAGTGCCAACGCCAATGTCAGAATGGAGTTCCTGCGAGGTTGCATTCAGTATCGGCGCTGGGCACATCCGTGGACGCAACCGGCCTAGCCCCGCGCTGGTTTGCTCCATCCCGCTTCATCCGGCTCTTTCCAGTTTAAGCCATGGCCCCGAAGCCAGCTCCATGGTTTCCCCAATTGCGTCGAATCGCCCGTAATCGTTCTTACGAAAACCTCTTAGAAGTTGCTTCCTAATCAAGGTTTGGCCCGTGTCGTCGCATGGTGTTCCAGGCCTTGCCCGTGCACAGCCACGCGCCGCGCACGACAGGCCCCCATCCAGACGGGGCTGCTCATCACCTCGTCTGGGCACGACTTCGTCGTGGTGACAGCCGCTTCGCTGCGGCTGGGCGGGCAGGTGGCCCGACAGTGGAGGTGTTCGTCGCTGTGAAACAACCGAGTCTGGGATCGTTTCCGGAATTGACTTACCCCAAAGCCGTTCAATCGGATCCACGAAACATGCAAATGTTGTTTCGCCAATCTACGAGCATTGCGATTTTTCGTCGATTCGGCGAGGAAACACATTCTGGAGTACATCAACCCTGTAGTCGATCCCGTTCTCGAAACAAAGCGGGCCTCGAGTTGTGTTCGCCTTTTTTTGCCCTTTCAGGGGCCCAGCCAGGGCCCCGAGACGGTAACCGATGCAGCGTGAAGAAGCCATTGTGTCGGTGTGAGCTGCCTTGTCAGAGCGTATCGGGCGGACCATTTTTTTTGTTGGAAGGCCCCTGTGGGTCCAGGGCCCGCTTCCCTCGGGGCCCCGTTCTCTTCACGCCAAGGCTTGGAAAGGGCTCGAGGTATGCACCATGTCGTCGCTTGGTTTGGCAGAGGGCCGATGAGGTCGACGAAGCAACTCGGTGTGCAGACGCTCCAGCGCCCCGCAGGTCGGGCAGCTGGGAGCGTCTTTGCACCGAGCTTCCTGGGCGACCAGGCAGCTTGGTGAACAACCCGCGCCCATCCCAGGCCCCAGGAGCGGCAAGCGTGGAGAGTCGATCCCCGGGGGAGGGCACCTCGTGAACGGCTCGGGGCGGGTTGCGAGCGGCAAGCGCGGAGAGTCGATCCCCGAGGGAGAGCGCCTCGTGAATGGCTTGGGGCGAGTTGCGAGGACGTCCGTGGTCGTTGCGCCGATGAAGCCCTCTCACGCGTGGCGTCGACATCTAACTTCTTGTTGCGTGAGCGACGCGGAAAAGGGCCCCGATTTTGAGGAAATTCGCGCGTCAGTTGCCTGCGTCTCGTCGCGGAGCGCCCTCGTTTGCACCGTGGTGTGCCGCTCTGGCGGCCCGCGTGAGCCGCGGCAGAAGGTCGCTGTGCCATCTCGCGTAGTAAGGCCCGCAACTCGTCGCCCACCTGCGCTCAGGACAGGCCGCCCAGTTCCGGCAGGCGCGGCGGGAATCGGCGCAGCCTGCGGAGAGTCTTTGCAGGTCCGCGCTCCGCGGACGTGGGGGGGACACTCCTGAGACAGAGGGGCTGCCCGAGACGGCCCGGGCAGCTCTCCTCAGGGAGCGCCCGCACTGCCTGGCTGCTCGACGGCGCGCCCTGCGGGGGAAGTGAGAGGGCGCAGGCCTTCTCCAGGAGCCCTCGCGCCTTCTGCGAAGCTCTCCTATGTCGTCGGAGATGGCCTAGAAGATTTCTCAGACGGTCCGAGGCCTTCCAGGTCTCTTGATACGTCCCGCCCCTTCCCACTTCCCCCCTGGCTCGTCGCCGACGCGTGCCGCCGCCGCCGCCGGCTATGCAGCCTCGCGAACTCAGGCACGGCGTCGGTCGTGCGCAAGTCATGCCTGCAGCAAGGCGCAGAGTGTCGTGTCGGCCGCCCCCTTTTTCCACAGACAGCCAAGACAGTAGCGGTCACACATTTTTCGGGTGTGCCAGCAGCATTGTCACAATCAGGAGGGGAAACAACTTTTGCGTCGGCGGCTAGGTAGGCACAGTCACTGCGCTGGCGAAAGGAGGAGGGGAACACACACACAGACACAATGAGTCGTCGACTCCCAGGATAACATGGGAAAAGATGGGTAAGGGGGGGGGGGGAAGACGAAGACCCAGAAAATTGCGGAAAATACGGGGATTTTGGGATGTGTGTCTATTTGTGTGTACATGTTTTGCGCCAGGTGTGTGACAGAAGGAGATCGCGCGGCGAAGCGCGGGAGATCGTCGCACACCTTCGTGGCCACCGCGCGGTCCCACGGGCTCCCGCGCGCAGCGGCACGCCCAAAGCATTCCGCCCCTCTTTAGCTAGGGGAACGAGCAATGACATAAACATGCAAAACTCGGAGGTCCGCGCGGACTTCTCGGATCCGCGCTGGACCCCCCTGGCGGCGCCTCCGGCGCCGCCCCTGGCGCGCTCCGCGCTAAGGAGGCACGCCCTCCCTCCCTGGACCCCCCTGGAGCTGCCGCGCGCGCTTCCGCTGAACCCCCTCCGAGTGTTGTATGTTTGTGTCATTGTTCGTTCCCTTCTGTGCGTGTGTGGGCATCGCGCGTGGCCGTTCTGTGGCCCCTGCGCCTTGGGCCGCGCGGGCGGACGAGTGGTCGGGCGAGCTGCCTGGGCCCGACCCCCCCCAGCGGTCGGTCATTCCTGATCGTCGTGGCCGTGAGGGATCCTTGGCCCTCTGCTCCTCCCGACTCGACTTGATCATGCATCCCGTGTGAGTGGGCGGCGAAAAGCGCTGCAGTTTTGCGCAGCGGTCGCTGTCGTCGCGGGGGCAGTTGGCAAAAGCCCCGACGTCTCCCCTGGCATTTGGGTCCAGAGGCAGAGCGCAGTCCGGAGACCCCAACTGCGTTCGCACATGGTCGCGTCCCTGGCCAAAAGTGGGGCTCGCCCGGACACGGCACGACTGCCGGCTCTGGCGGGCGTTTTGTGACCGTGCTCTGGGCGGCGATCCCATGTGCTCTGCACGGCAGGCCGCGCCGTTCCTCGTCATGCACGGCGTGCCCTGTGGCGGATGGTCTGCGTCGGCGGCGCGCCGAACGGGGCAGCGCGAGGCGCATGACGTTCAAGGATGCCGCCCAAGTTTCACCGCAAGAATCGGGCCGGGCGAAAACGGGGGATTGGGAAAGGGGGGGTTACGAAATTTGCTGCATGCAGCTGATTTCGGCCTCACCGAGGGGCCCATTCCTCGATACATGGGCGCCTCCCGGCGCCGGGAGGCGCCGGGAAAATCAGCTACGTGAGCTGATTCTCAAACCCCCCCTTTGCTATCCCCCCCTTTCGCCCGACCCGAAAGAAGCAATTAAGAACCCGTCCCCCCCTCTCCGGCGAAAGTATAATACACCCGGCATCCCAGGAGCCTTACCCTGGCACCTCACACCTTTTATGTGAGCGCAGACGAACCTGTTCGCCGAAGCGATCAAACCGCCCGAGACATTCTCGCAATGTGGTCTTCTTGTGGTTGAAACCAGCGCCTCGCCTGAGACATCCTCAGAATCTGCTCTGGACGCAGACGAGTCTGCGTCAGGTGCTCGGTCGGGGCGCGGGAATTATTTATTCTCGTTCCATTCGCGCGGTGCTCATCATATCGTTCGACAAAAACCGCCCCCCAGAATTATTTAATTACGGTACTGTGCTAATGATAACCCCGGGGGGTCCTTAATGGTTTCTTACGGTTAAGCCCTCCCGCTATTTTAGAAGATATTCAAGAAGCCCCCGATCTCTCCAAACAGCGCACTGCCTCCTCAAAGATCGCCTTGATTCCCCATTCCACTTCCTGTGCGTCGACAGTTGAATCGGTTAAAGTTGCTTGGAAGCTGAACTCGCCGTCAGCATTCGGGAAGTGGCTTATCATCATCGCCTCCAGTTCCAGCTTGATGCGGTTTGATCTCGTTTGCTCGGACCTACTTTGCTTCCATCAAACTGGCCGCATTCATTTCTGAAATCCAGCCTTCCCGTTCTTATTCGTGCTCACTCCCAAGGGATGTCAAGTACTTCTGATGGAGGGCTGTATTTATCCAAGCGTGTCCCAAGGTGAAGAGCGATCCGGATGTGAGCGTGTTGGGAATGGAGACCGACTACTTTGTTGAGGGCGACCCTGTACGAACGTTCGAGAAGGCGCACTGTTCTTCGTTTGTCTCCCTAGCTTGTGGATCGATGCATTTGTTATGCACATGCGTAGATCGGATGGACGACAGGCAGCCAGCAGGATGAGAAGGGCGACGGAAACGACGACAAGACCGATACTGATGCAAATGAGGATGATGGCGAGTACGATAACGAGGAGGATGCAGCGAAGAAGGGCGAGGAGGGGGAGGACGAGGATGGACAGGGTCATACGATGTGCTCGGCCCGCCTTGCACACATCTGCTGGTGCTGCGCGGAGGGTCTCCAGAAGTCGAGTAGAAGATCGTCTACACAATTGGTTTACGCCAGCATTGATTGGTTCGTCGAATCTGCACAACACGTAACATGCTCGTAGATCTACATCCATTCGACGCACTTTTCTCGAAGGTTCGGCGACCAGTTCAAGTTTGGGGTAAGTCGATTCTGTAGTCGATCCCCTACTGGAAGAAGGGACGCGGAGTGGAGGAGGAGAGTGCGGCACGACAAGAAGCGGCCGACGATACAGGGGGCGAGGACGCGAGGCAGGACACGACCGAGGACGAGGACGTGTTGGCATCCCTGGGCCGCGTGCATCTTGCTCTCGGCAGGGCTCATCGAGGAGCATTTTGGGTCAGTTTGAGATAAAATACGCGCACGAGGCCGAGAAGTGTACGGGGAATGGACTTCCGAGCGCTGGCGAGACGATGGGCAGGAGGAGGAGGCGGAGGAGGTGGAGGCAGCACTGGGAACGAGGCATCGGCGGCGGGAGAGGAGGGGGTGAGGATCGGGGGATGGGGGGCGGAGGGGGGAGACTGGAAGGCGAACGAGGACGAAGTTGGGAAGGGGGGAATGACTAGGAGGCTTGGATACGACGAAGATGATGTTGGGGCAGCTTGGGGCGGAAAGTTGATGGAGAGTTGGCAAGGTGTACCGGGATGATGGGAGATGCTGGGGTAGGAAGACGATGGGGTAGGAGGAGCGGCAAGACGATGAGGAGGGATGATGGGGGTAGGGTGATGTCTGTGCGCAGCCCGAAGCTTTACCACTCCAAGAGGACAGCCCAAAACCCAAAGGCGGTTCGGGACTCGTTCGTCCTCAGGTGCTTCTCCTTCGGACAGCCCTGCGAGTGCTTCAGAGGGCCTCAAGACGGCCCGAACCGCCCGAAGAAAGCTCCAGTACCGCTCCAGGATGCCCCAGGATAACCGGGAGATGGCCTTCGAGAGTTTGCGCAAGGCGGCCGAAGAGGTCCCGAGATTCCGACGCCCCCTCCCGCTGTCATTTTGGTTCAAGGCATCCGGGATCAGGCCGGAAAATAGTTCACCGAAGTGATTCACACATCTTTTCATTTTTGGCATTGGCACTTGATTTCTCGAGCGATGGCAGCCCATCAGGGACCATGGACTTTGTTTTGGTTGGTACATGTTCACAGCACGTCCATCGCGACTTCTCTGAGGACAGAATCCAGTGCTACTTCGTCGGTGTCAGGCTATTCGTACTCAGTGATCCTTAACACCCACTGTGGGGGCTTGTCCATCTACACATGGGCTAATGGAGAAGCTGCGAATTACGGCCAGGGTTTCGTCAACGACATTCCTGGATGCAAGACGATGTGTGACAGTCATGCCGACTGCGCCGGATTTATTCAGCGCGATACAGACAACAGGTGTTCATTCTGGAAGTCTGGTCCTTTGGGATATATCAGCGCTGGTACCTACACCGACCATCATTGCTACGAGAAGGGGGCTGCGATCGCTACCAGTAGTCCAACGCCCAGCCCGACGCCCAGCCCGACGCCCAGTCCGTCGATTCCCAGTGCTGGCGGCGCGGCCACTGGCGATCCCCACCTGCAGAACATTCATGGTGAGCGGTTGGACTTGATGAGGCCAGGCAGGCACGTTCTGATAAACATCCCTCGTGGAGAGCTCGCCGAAAAAACGTTACTTCGCGCGCAGGCCGACGCGCAACGAATTGGCGGACAGTGCACGGACATGTCTTTCCAAGCAGTCAACGTCACAGGGGCATGGGCGGGCGCGAGTGCGAAGCTGACGGGCGGCCTTCGCTACTGCGCCCAGGACGCCGGCGGCAAGCAGGCCCACTGGAGGCGGTTCGGGCCCGTGCAGTTGAAGATCGCACACGGGCGCACGCAGGAGGGCACCAAGCATCTGAACCTCTACGTCAAGAGCCTCGGGCGCGCAGGCTTCGCCGTCGGAGGCTTGCTGGGAGAGGACGGCCACTCCCAGGAGCAGGTCCCTCCGGAGGAGTGCCACCACAGCATGGCCATGTAGGCGCGGGTCGGGCCTCCTCCTTCGGCGTCGGCGCCGGCGCATTCCACCGAGGCCCGTGACCAGCCGGGCCCCCGCTGGGCGCTGTAGCGGGGGGGAGGGTGCTGATACGAAACCATCACGACGTGGGAGTTTGGGATCGAGAGGGTGAACATGCGGCACCCTATTGTAACTATCTGGCCTCTGGTCCGAGCCGCAGGCAGAGCCAGAGCCTGTGTTGTTGGCCGCCCGCTACATTTTCCGCGGGCCTTCCCACGGGAATGGCCATTCTGAGATTGCCGCCCGCTGGCTAGAGCACTTCGCACATGTTTGTGCCTGTCCTCTGGACAAGAAAAAAGATTCCGACGCCCCCTTTAGCGAGCCCCAGGACATGTCACAGACACTCCAGGAAGAGCCCCAAGAGACCCCTGCACTTGTTGAGGGCGACCCTGTACGAACGTTCGAGAAGGCGCACTGTTCTTCGTTTGTCTTCCTAGCTTGTGGATTGATGCATTTGTTATGCACGTGCGTAGATCGGATGGGCGACAGGCGACCAGAAGGATGCGAAGGGCGACGGAAAGGACGACAAGACCGATACTGATGCAAATGAGGATGATGGCGAGTACGATGACGAGGAGGATGCAGCGAAGAAGGGCGAGGAGGGGGAGGACGAGGATGGACAGGGTCATACGATGTGCTCGGCCCGCCTTGCACACATCTGCTGGTGCTGCGCGGAGGGTCTCCAGAAGTCGAGTAGAAGATCGTCTACGCAATTGGTTTACGCCAGCATTGATTGGTTCGTCGAATCTGCACAACACGTAACATGCTCGTAGATCTACATCCATTCGACGCATTTTTCTCGCAGGTTCGGCGACCAGTTCAAGTTTGGGGTAAGTCGATTCTGTAGTCGATCCCCTACTGGAAGAAGGGACGCGGAGTGGAGGAGGAGAGCGCGGCACGACAAGAAGCGGCCGACGATGCAGGGGGCGAGGACGCGAGGCAGGACGCGACCGAGGACGAGGACGTGTTGGCATCCCTGGGCCGCGTGCATTTTGCTCTCGGCAGGACTCATCGAGGAGCATGTTGGGTCAGTTTGCGCTAAAATACGCGCACGAGGCCGAGAAGTGCACGGGGAATGGACTTCCGAGCGCTGGCGAGACGATGGGCAGGAGGAGGAGGCGGAGGAGGTGGAGGCAGCACTGGGAACGAGGCATCGGCGGCGGGAGAGGAGGGGGTGAGGATCGGGAAATGGGGGGCGGAAGGGGGGGGACCGGAAGGCGAACGAGGACGAAGTAGGGAAGGGGGGAATGACTAGGAGGCTTGGATACGACGAAGATGATGTTGGGGCAGCTTGGGGCGGAAAGTTGATGGAGAGTTGGCAAGGTGTACCGGGATGATGGGAGATGCTGGGGTAAGAAGACGATGGGGTAGGAGGAGCGGCAAGACGATGAGGAGGGATGATGGGGGCAGGGTGATGTCTGTGCGCAGCCCGAAGCTTTACCACTCCAAGAGGACAGCCCAAAACCCAAAGGCGGTTCGGGACTCGTTCGTCCTCAGGCGCTTCTCCTTCGGACAGCCCTGCGAGTGCTTCAGAGGGCCTCAAGACGGCCCGAACCGCCCGAATAAAGCTCCAAGACCGCTCCAGGATGCCCCAGGATAACCCGGAGATGGCCTTCGAGAGTTTGCGCGAGGCGGCCGAAGAGGTCCCGAGATTCCGACGCCCCCTCCCGCTGTCATTTTGGTTCAAGGCATCCGGGATCAGGCCGGAAAATAGTTTACCGAAGTGATTCACACATCTTGTCATTTTTGGCATTGGCACTTGATTTCTCGAGCGATGGCAGCCCATCGTGAACCATGGACTTTGTTTTGGTTGGTACATGTTCACAGCGCGTCCATCGCGATTTCTCTGAGGACAGAATCCAGCGCTAATTCGTCGGTGTCATGCTATTCGCGATCCTTGACACCCACTGTGGGGGCTTGTCCATCCACACATGGGCTAATGGAGAAGCTGCTAATTACGGCCAGGGTTTCGTCAACGACATTCCTGGATGCAAGACGATGCGTGACAGTCATGCCGACTGCGCCGGATTCATTCAGCGCGATACAGACAACAGGTGTTCATTCTGGAAGTCTGGTCCTTTGGGATATATCAACGCTGGTACCTACACCGACCATCATTGCTACGAGAAGGGGGCTGCGATCGCTACCAGTAGTCCAACGCCCAGCCCGACGCCCAGCCCTACGCCCAGTCCGTCGATTCCCAGTGCTGGCGGCGCGGCCACTGGCGATCCCCACCTGCAGAACATTCATGGTGAGCGGTTGGACTTGATGAGGCCAGGCAGGCACGTTCTGATAAACATCCCTCGTGGAGAGCTCGCCGAAAAAGCGTTGCTTCGCGCGCGGGCCGACGCGCAACGAATTGGCGGACAGTGCACGGACATGTATTTCCAAGCAGTCAACGTCACAGGGGCGTGGGCGGGCGCGAGTGCGAAGCTGACGGGCGGCCTTCGCTACTGCGCCCAGGACGCCGGCGGCGAGCAGGCCCACTGGAGGCGGTTCGGGCCCGTGCAGTTGAAGATCGCACACGGGCGCGCGCAGGAGGGCACCAAGTATCTGAACCTACGTCAAGAGCCTCGGGCGCGCAGGCTTCGCCGTCGGAGGCTTGCTGGGAGAGGGCGACCACTCCCAGGAGCAGGTCTGGGCGCTGTAGCGGGTGGGAGGGTGCTGATGCGAAACCATCACGACCTGGGAGTTTGGGATCGAGAGGGTGAGCATGCGGCACCCTATTGTAAGTATCTGGCCTCTGGTCCGAGCCGCAGGCAGAGCCAGAGCCTGTGTTTTTGGCCGCCCGCTACATTTTCCGCGGGCCTTCCCACGGGAATGGCCATTCTGAGATTGCCGCCCGCTGGCTGGAGCACTTCGCACACGTTTGTGCCTGTCCTCTGGACAAGAAAAAAGATTCCGACGCCCCCTTTAGCGAGCCCCAGGACATGCCACAGACACTCCAGGAAGAGCCCCAAGAGACCCCTGCACTCCAAAATCGCCCATTTCACATTCAATGCCCACCCGTGCTGGCCTGGACAGGTAGAATGTTCCCAAGTTCTGCTCTTACAGCCGAGTGCAGTCCCCAAGGGTCCGTGGGGTGCCACTGTTTGCTCCACCGTTCTTACTGCCGAGTGCAGTCCCCAAGGGTCCGTGGGGTTCCACTGTTTGCTCCACCGTGCTTCAGCAGCGCTTGGGAGGAGCCTCAGACGCGCCGGGGTCCCCTCTCGTCTGTTTGGAAGGCTCCTCGGAGGAGACTCGAGCCTTACCGCACTCGCGCGAAGCAGGAGGAGGAGGAGGAGGGGGGGGAGGAGGAGGAAGAGGCGGACGGATACGCGCAAGTGGAGAAAGGAGATGAGTGAGGCTGAAGAGGAGGTCGAGGAGAGGGAGGGTGAGGAGAGGAGTGAGGCGGCGGAGCAGGGGACAATTTAGGAGAGGGGATGAGGGCAAGCTTGCCACCTCTCCCACCCATACTTGGCCGCTGCAGTGAAGTTGTTTGAATCCGCCGACTGGGCTGTAATAGATGACCTTGATCCCCGAGATGGCCCCAAAGTGGGATGCGCAATTGAAGAGGGAGGACGTTGTACATCGGGCAATGAGAGCGAGGGGGCGATTGATCAGGTGGCGGGGTCGAGGAGGAGGTGGAGCAGCAGCAGGAGGAGTAAACGTAGCAGGAGGACCAGGGGAATGCGGAGGAGGACAAAGGAGGGGGCGGCAACGGCGAGGGAGAAGTCGGATCCGGGGTTTGGGCTCGCGCTCGGGCGAGGGCGCACTGCCGAACGACGGGCGCAAACTTGTCCAGGACCCAGCAACGCGCCTTGCTAACGAGCACCCGTGGGAGGAGCTGTCGCGTCTGTGCCCCGTGTGTGCGCGCGGCCAGCCATGCGCGCAGGAGGGGGGGGCCCACGCAGCCCAGTATCGGGGGAGGGAGATGCGGGTAATTCGTGCCCATGCGTTGTGATAGTTTCGGAGGGGACGTGGGAGGAGTAGGGGAATAAGATCGTATATGATAATCCAGTCAAGGGATATAGCAAGTACGGTGAGCGCTGTTTGTTGAGCTTTGCCTCGCTAGAGACGCGGATGGCCTGTCGCGCGCCACCCGCGCGGAGGAGGGGGAGGTTTCTGAGTCTGCGACCAAGGCCTGGACCTTGGGTCCCTCCGTGTCCTCCCAAGGGTTGTTGGCCACTGTGGGTTTTCTTGTCCTTCTCCAAGGGCCAGGTCGTAGTATCTGCACTGAAGCTTCTGACCCCCGTTCCGTTTCCCTGCCAGTGGTCCTGCGGTTCTTGCTGGGCGCGGGCATCGTCGGGATCGCGTTGTACCTGTTATGCGCGGGCGCGGGCTCGCCCGCGCGCCTTTACGCTACGGGCCAAGGAGGCCCGACAGCATCTCGTAGCAGGGGTCCACTTAAAATGTTTGTTTCCAGACCTCGCGGGCAGTTTTCGTTTCCAAATCGTTTTGCAGCGAGGGCGGACTCGAGACAACACGAGGGACACCGGAAGCAAAGCGAACCGTCAAAACACCTGTTTTTCGGGGTCGAGCCCTGCGCCTTTTTTTCCGTGGCAGGGGAGGGACCAGGAGGCAGCAGGGCGGAGGGGGGGCGGCGAGGGCCGATCCGGAGGAGCAGGCGAGCTCCGGACCGCTGCATGGGGCGGGCCCCCCCTCGGCTGCAGCAGGTGCAGTTCATCTGCCTCTGGGACTTCCAGTCGGCCAACGTCGGCTCGGAGCGCCGCCCCTCGCGGCCTCGGCACGACCCCCAAGGGGGCTGAGCGGGCCCCTGTGCTTGGCATCGCTCGGACGTGTGCATTTTTTCTTCGGCGAGAACCATCGAGGACCATCGTGGACCATCGAGCAAAGCAACACGCGCGAAACCGAAAAATGCATGGGACATGGACGTCCGAGCGACAGCAAGTGTGTCGTCGTGTTCCTCGAGAGCCCGTCTCTCCTGCCCGTGTTTCCTGCTGCAGTGCTCCAGCGCTGAGCAGGGATCGGGAGGGGGAAACACACACAAACACAGCTCATCGTCGACTCCCAAGAAGATATGGGAAAATATGGGAAGTGTGGGGGGGGGGGGGGGGGGAGACGATAACCCAGAAAATACGAGAAACGATCGGGACTCCGGGGATGTATGTCAATGTATGTGTGTGCGTGTGTCTATTTATGTGTGTGTGTGTGCCAGGGACCCTTTATGGAAAGGATTGCTCTGGCGCGGATCGGAAGCGTTCGCGCCGCGGCGGAGCTCGTCCTTCTCCTCCCCGCCTTGCGCGCTTCCACCGCCCGTCCGCCTCCCTCCCCCACGCCCCCACCCCCACCTTCTCTTTCTCAACACCACCACCACCAGCACCACCACCACCACAACCACCAGCACCACCACCACCACCATCACCACCACCACCACCACCACCAGTACCACCACCACCACCACGACAACCACGCACACACGCACGCACGCACGCACGTGCACCACCACCCACTACGCACGCGCGCGCGGAGCCACAGGTCCGCTACGACACGCGTCCGCGGATAGAGAAAATCAGCGCCATGGTAAGGGATGGGAGGCAGGGGTAGGACGTCAGATATGACGCGAGCGCACCTAGCTTGTCTCCCCCCCGTCCCCTCCTCTCCTCCCCTCCCTTCCCGTCCCCTTCCCCTTCCCCTCCCCTCCCCCCACACATCCCTCCTTGTTCTTCCCCCCTCCCCCTCCCGTGGGGGTGAGATTTAAGAGTATGTGGCGTGCGCTGTTGTCTCGCGCCGAAGCGTTTTTTTCCTGCGCGGCATCTCATGGCGCGAGTTTGCTCGCGTGCACGGTTGCGGCGCGCGCATTCGGAAATATCAGGTCTAGCAGTAGTGGCCGTATGTGTACTCATGTAACTACTACTATTATATCCGTAAGGGTTTCGCCCCCTGCCGCCGGCCCCCTCTCTCGGAGAATGGGCCATGGAAGAGCTAAGTCATGAGGCCTTGGCGCTGTCGTGAAGCAGTATCGAAACTTCATGCGAAGCCGATTCGCAATCAGCAAAACCAACTGATCACAAGAGGGGTTACCACACCTGGCGATTGGTAAGACGTGTATGGTTTACGGGCTTGGTTACCACACCTTGCGATTAAAGGGCCGAGGGAGTTCTCGCAGTTTGGGTTACCACGCCTTGCGATGGATGTGCGTGAAGGGTGGCACTGAATTCAGAAATGTGGCAAATCCCCTGTGTTTTTGGACCCTGACCCCGCGGATCTGCGTAAGGGGTGGCACCGAATTTCAGAAATGTGGCAAATCCCATGTGTTTTTGGACCCTGACCCCGCGGATCTGCGTGAGGGGTGGCACCGAATTTCAGAAATGTGGCAAATCCCATGTGTTTTTGGACCCTGACCCCGCGGATCTGCGTGAGGGGTGGCACCGAATTTCAGAAATGTGGCAAATCCCTTGTGTTTTTGGACCCTGACCCCGCGGATCTGCGTGAGGGGTGGCACCGAATTTCAGAAATGTGGCAAATCCCATGTGTTTTTGGACCCTGACCCCGCGGATCTGCGTGAGGGGTGGCACCGAATTTCAGAAATGTGGCAAATCCCATGTGTTTTTGGACCCTGACCCCGCGGATCTGCGTGAGGGGTGGCACCGAATTTCAGAAATGTGGCAAATCCCCTGTGTTTTTGGACCCTGACCCCGCGGATCTGCGTGAGGGGTGGCACCGAATTTCAGAAATGTGGCAAATCCCCTGTGTTTTTGGACCCTGACCCCGCGGATCTGCGTGAGGGGTGGCACCGAATTTCAGAAATGTGGCAAATCCACTGTGTTTTTGGACCCTGATTCGGCGGATCTGCGTGAGGGGTGGCACCGAATTTCAGAAATGTAGCAAATCCTATATGTTTTTGGACCCTGACACCGCGGATCTGCGTGAGGGGTGGTACCGAATTTGAGAAATGTGGCAAATCCCATGTGTTTTTGGACCCTGACCCCGCGGATCTGCGTGAGGGGGGGCATTGAATTCTAGAAATGTGGCAAATCCCGCGTGTTTTTGGACCCTGACCCCGCGGATCTGCGTGAGGGGTGGCGCCGAATTTTAGGATTGTTGCAAATCCCCTATGTTTTTGGACCCTGACCCCGCGGATCTGCGTAAGGGGTGACACCGAATTTCAGAAATGTGGCAAATCCCATATGTTTTTGGACCCTGACCCCGCCGATCTGTGTGAGGGGTGTCGAACTCGCGCCCCCCCAGCAATTAAGACAACGCGCCCCGGAGGTGCTAAATATGTGGTTTGGGCCTCCCCCCCCCTCGCGCGGTCAATCAACTAGTTACAGTAACCAGCAAGAAGCAGAACTGTAACACTGGAAACTACAAGCTACAACTGGTACAGGAAACTGCGAACCCGCGCCTACAGCCTGGTGGCCCCACAAGGGGGCCGGCGGACTTAGGTCATGCTCGTGCGTTTGCTCATTGTCCTACACTCCCTCCTGACCTTACGCATACAGCAGCGTCGTATGTTATTTCTACTAGGTGATCTGCTGATGCTACTTCTGCTCCAGATGTGCGACGAATCCGCGGCGCCGTTGGTGTCTGTCCGCGCGCATCGTTTTGCGCACCGAGACCCCGCCGCCAACGCGCCCCCCACATTACAGAGCCAGCAAATTACTGCCTGAGTACAGGGGCGAGCCAGTGCCCATTAACAGATTCCAAGAACGACACAGACCTACTCCGCTTACTGATCCGTCAGCCGAAGCGCATGGCGCTCAGGCGGGATATGGCGGCGTCCACGCCGTTGTGGAAGTTGCCGCAACGGATGTACATCGCGCTCAGCATCGAGTCCTGCGCTACGCTGGGGCCGTTTTTGTTACGTGTTCCAGGTCAGCGTTTTCTTTCTGTTTTGGGCGCCGTTTCTGGCACGTGCTCAACCTGGGGGTTGGCCTGCTCAACCTGGGGGTTGGCCTGTCGCCCACCTGCTCGTTTGATTTATGTTTCCAATACGTGTTTTATTGTGTGTGTTATATCACAATGCCGCCTGCGTGGCGCCCACATGCCGGGGTGTTGTTTTTAGAGCGGGTTTAGTCGAGTCAAGAACGAGAAATGGAAAACCAAAAAACGCCTCCATTTTGCAGGAGGTGCAACTTGACCACCACGCGAGCCAAACCACTCTCGATGTTTACTTTGTCGACCGGGTACTCGGCCTCGATGGCCAGGTACCCGTACATGAAGTGGAGCTGGTCTTTGGCAGGGCCCCCGAAACTACAGGAACGGATTTAGGCACGACGTGCCTAAATCCGTTCCTGCCTTTTCTCTTGTGAAATCGTCGATCGGAGCCGCGCGCCAGGACGCATGGCGAGTTTCGAATCGCTCGTCGAACGTGCGACTCGAGGGGAACCAGGTGCCGCGCGCCACGCGGCACCGCCGACGCACGGCGCGCGATCTGGCGGGCGGATCGGCAAAACCTTCAAAAAGAAAAAAACCAGGCCCTCTAAGCCTTCTGCGTATGGAAGCACGAGGTCATGATCGGCCGCCTCCATGTTCGGGAGGGAGACCCAGCCCTGGACCGACGGCGTCAGGAAAGAGACGGCGCGACCGAATACGGCGTCAGGGATCTGAACGTCCCAGTGCACAATCGCCATTAAAGCCTTGCAGAACAAGTGCTTCGTCAGGGCGATAGTGTGCTGGTACGCGACCATGTCCAGCTTTTCCTGGCCGCATGGCAGTTAGCAACAGTGACGCTGGGTACTACGCACATAGGAAAAGCCACCCCCCTTCGACAGACGAAGCATCGACAAACACAACAATCTGGATCGAGCCGATCGAATTTAGGCAATCGGTTCTCCTCGACAAGAAGCAGCGTCGCCCGACATTCGGTGCGCACGCGGCCGAGCTCGTCGCGGGGGTCGGAGTCAGCCATGCTGAAGGCCGACTGGGGGGATGGGGGGAGCGGCGGAATACCTCCCACGCGCGCTTTGCTCCTGCGCAGCTGCGGGCGATAGCAGTGGGGCGCCGAGGAGAGGGGGGGAATCCGGGCCCGAGCATGAAGCATTGCGTTTTCGCGGCGGTCGACCCCCTGCGCGCCGCTGCGTCCCCCGAGAGAAAGAAGCGATCGCTGCCCTGGCCATGCAAGTCAGCGCGGCTCCCCCCTGAAAGCGCCCCGCTCAGATTGCACCGGGCAGCGGCGCGCGGGCCCTCGAAATGTAGCGGCCCCCCAACGTGGCGTACCAGTCTGCCCAGTCGGGCACCCTGATGATCTCCCCTGCGAAGAGGTAAGAGGTAAATGTATCCGATTACAACTGGCGGCAGCTGATTGCACAGGGAATCCCACGCCTCATGGAAAGCCATAGAGGCGCGCGCGACACCTGGCGGCGCAGCCTAGTCTTTTCTCGACCGTCGCATCCGCCAGGCTGCGCCGAGACAGCGCAGTCGGGGCTGAGGCGGTGCTCAGAGAAACAACCCAGACTGGCCGCCAATGCGGGCGCGTCGTTGGCCGTCCACGCGCCTTCCGCGAGAGCGGGGCGCGCCCGGAAACCAACCGCCACGCGAAGTCTTGGTCGGATAGGAACTCCACGACCTCAGCGCAGAGGAAAGCGTCGACGCGGAGAAGAGCGATCGACGAAACGAAAGCGATGCAGCGCATCGCTTCTCTCTCTTAAGCATTAACTTAATTGTAATTGCTATTGCTTATAGTTATACACACGTCATCAGGTTCGAGTTCGGTCCGGAGCCAGTACTCTCGTCGAGGAGGCGAATGAGCCAACGTCCA